TTCATCGTTCAAATCTATCATTGAGCAAATTATTTAGGTAAAAAAGGAGCATTGTTAACTCTTTCTGTATATGACACGTCACTCTGTTCTTCCTTTAATACATTTTTTTTTTTTTTAAATTTGATTGCCCATATTTCTATTTTTTTTTCCAACAAAATAAAACACAGAGGGCGCTATTTTAACAATTTGAAATGCAAGTATCAAGCGCAAAGCACAAGTAACTTTGTGGGCGGGTCTTGGGCACTGTTGTTATTTTACCGGCGGGATAAATGACTCTTGCGCCCGACGCAAGTTTAAAAGAGGTTGGTCTGAAATGGCTTCATTATTGATAGGTGTGGTTTGGGCATAACGTGAAATAAAACAATCAGAGCGTCATCCAACATAGGGTATGTTGGATGACGCTCTGATTGGTTTATTTCACGTTAATGGGTTAGTTCACCCAAAAATGTAAATTAAGTCATTAATTACTCACCCCCATGCTGTACCAACCCCCGTAAGACCTTCGTTCATCTTCGGAACACAAATAAAGATATTTTTGATTGAATCTGAGAGCTGGATCACTCTTCCATAGGCTTCCTAAGGGACTGGCTCTTGACGGCCCATAAAGTCATTAAAAAAAAGGTTTAAATATTCCATGTGCCTACAGCGGCTCAATTATAAGTTGGATAGATGCGCGCTGTACATACGCTTTTCAATTTGCGTATTTTCCGCACTATAAGGTGCACTTAAAAGCCTTTTATCTTCTCAAAAAACGACAGTGTTCCTTATAATTCGGAGCGCCTTATATATGGATCATCATTTTATACGGTAGGGGGCGGTAAAACTCCTAAGCGGTGAGCAGCCGGTAACAAGAAGTAGACGAATGAGAACGTCCTCGTCTCAGTTCTCGCGCATGCGCCCATAAGGAAGTAATGGAATAGTCGAATAAAGTCGATATTTATGTTTTTTTCGCACAAAAAGTATTCTCGTCGCTTGATAAACTTATAACTGAGCCGCTGTAGGCACTTTTTTTTTCCTGGTTCTTGACGGACAAACTACAAACTAATTTGTCAGATGTCCTTATATACATATGTGTCTTACCACTATCTTGGGCAAACAGGTCTGATCCGTCATTACTACAATTAGCCTGAAAAATTTGGGTAAATGTGTAAGGTAAGCTAGATTTAGGCCTACATTTTTTCACATCATGGACACCACAAAGATTGTTGTGGGTCAAACAAACTTTATGGCCCATTGTAGTGCCACAAAAATCATAAATAAAATTACTCTGAGGCATCGTTTCTGTCGGCAGCACAAAGTTTTGTTTGGGGAAGAATAAGAGTAAATATGAGCAATAACATCAGTGATGCTTGCCTAAGCAATCAGCTCCAATTAAAATAAGAAATATGGAAACAAATGCACTACATGCATTTAGCTAGTAGCATTTTGAAATTAGCAATTTGTTTCAGTTAATTATTTAGGTTTTAATTCAGAGCGAGTCTTGCCGCTTGCCCTGGCTGTTGTATGAATTAGTATGAATCTGTATGCATGTGGTGTCAATAAACACCAAATAGTTGAATTCGTCCTCTGTCACAGATTACGTATAATCCATCTTCCCTCGAACTATTCCAAGGCCAGCTTATGGTCCACCTTATATAGTTTTTGATTATCGGATGAGACATAGGAGTCATTTATCATAAAGGGAGCAGATAAAGCATGTTTGCTCACGGAGGGAAACCTCAGGGGTGAGTGATTCGTTAGTTTGTTTGTACCACAGAAGTCAATGACTCCGCAATCTGGCTCTGCTGTCCTTGCATCTCATAGCTTTGATTAGACAGTTTTTTAAGTTTCCTTGTAAACCGGCGAAATCTCCAGAAGATGTTCAAGGATTTACTATCCTAGCTAGATAAAACACTTTAAAATGTATTAGAGTGGAATATTAGCCAATAATTGGAGCTCATAAAATATGTCAGTAAAAAAAAAAACATTTGTGTAATAAAGGTCCAACTCTTTGCAAAATCATATTTAAATGTAATTTTGGAGAGGCTAGCAATAGAGTGGTGCAGGTATGACGTCTCTTTGTTAGGCCGACAGGCTAAATACCCTCGACAAAAACCCAATAGGATTTTTCAATAGGCTTTTGGAGTTAGAATAGTTTGTAAGAGCAAAATTAAGCAAAACAAGACAGTAAAAGCAAACTTAAGCTTACCTGTTTGGAGTGATGACGTTTAATGTCCTTAGCCACTTGTTTCCAACCGCTTTTTTCAAGACACGTAACAGCCTTAAAAAAAAAAGTAAAAAAAAAAAAAAATCACAATGTGGTAATAACGATATATTTTATATCGTAGAATAAAACGTGAAAGTGTCTTAAGCTTGTGTTCACCACAGACCTAATTTCAGCCATTTAACCAAAATCCCATTGACTTAAATACTCTTTGTTGATGACGAACACAAACTTTCTAAAAACTACAGTCACGCGATGGCATGAGCATCATCACTATGAACTTACGGCATTGGTCCTGGCTTTTGTTCACACAGCGCACGTTCCGGGACTGATTGGCAATTGCGGGCAATGTTACTAGGTCCCCAACCCGGCATTGATGCTGGCATCAATCCCGGGTCGTGTTAGTGTTCACACAAAAGGCGCTCTGGCAATTTCCCGACAATTTCCCAGGATCAACGCGCTGTGTGAAAGGGGCTTATCTCTCCTTTCCTCTCTAAATGCCCATAAAAATCTAAGCATTCCAGAAAAAAGCAAAGTTATAGCTATATACATATATGGAAGTTGTTAGTTAATTGTATTTTTTGTTGCTGTGCACTTTACTAACCTGTGGTCCTTTAAGTGTATAAGAAACACTGAAGGCTGTCTGACTCAAAACATTATTTCGGCTATAGCCTTTTTTTTGTTGCAGTTTTTAGTTTAATGTGGTCTAAAGCTAAATTTAAAGACTCAGATTATATTTTATATTCTACAGGAAAGTTGTATGTCAAGTCCTACGCTGCTCCCAATAACCAAGCACAAGCTGCTAAGATAATATGCTGGACATGTTGCTTGCAAATAAATGCACATGTGTAAATTCATGATACATTGTTTTCTCTTAAATGTAATACTTGGTTTACGTTGTTGTTAAATATAGTTTAATAATAATGCTACATGATAAATAGAAGGCTTCAAAAAAGAATAGACCCTGTAATCGGTGATCGGTATCGGGTGACACGGTTTACAGTAATCGGTGATCGATCAGCCCTAAAAATCCTAATCGGAGCATCCCTAATTTAATTTGAATTCTGAGTGAAGAACCAAAGTTACGGGAAATACTTTTAAAAATCTCACTAGACCTTATGTAGCCCCGCCCCTTCTCAGTGCTGAACTCGTTGTCTTTTGATTTCCGGTCCGTATTTCCACAGAGATCTTGCATAGGTATGAATGAACTGCTCGTGAATAATTTCCGTCGACATTTAAAAATGTAAAGACATCTGCTTTACAATGCTTATGATAAACATTACAATGCTCGTAATTCTACAATAAGTAAATCCACTTCACCAGCTAATTACTCCTCGACAGCGATGCCATAGAAATATACAGAGCAAGCGACCGCAAAAACGGAAGTTCAAAGACAATATTCTAAAGATGACGGCGCCCACGTTATATATAAAAAAAAATAAAAATAAATACTAAAGACTTAAACAGAAAAGGGTGTTCGAGGGTATCAACGCCTCTGGAAATAAAAGTAAAAGCTTTTATTAGGAATTAAATAATTATAATACCTCTCCCGTTGATAAAAGCTGATTATGTTTCACTGATAATTTCACCAAGTCTAATTGCAAAAAGCGATTTGAAATCGTTTGAATCGAGTTGTCTAAATACAACTTATCCTAGCATTTACAAATCACTTTTCATTTGTATTTTAATGCTAAATTTAACCCTATCCCATTTGCCAATTGAAGTTAATTCAGACCCAGTTTTAACATAGTTAATCATTAACAGAACAGAATCACAAAATGATTCACATATCAGTGTTAAACTTCCCATGAGTTCTGGTAGACGGTGAGCTGCCATTGCTCATAAGAGAGAGTGATATGCCACTGTGATCTTTAATATTACAGTCAAATGAGGAAGAAAGATTAATAGTTATCAACCAAAAATCCAATCTTGAATGGAAAAGGACCCCATGTAAAGTTTATTTTTATTTATTTATTTTATGTGGGTTCTTTACACGCTAAGAAACTGGGATATATTATTAATCAGGGGGTTAAAGGGAAAAGTGTCAAAAGGAATGTGGTCTCTATCCTGCCATTCGTCTGGAATAGAGTTAAATAATAATCCCATAATAATTTTGTCTGTAAAATTTGTGTTCGTCCAGTCAACTTAATAATAACCTAACTTATTAGCGTCTTGTTGGTGTAACCATAAACATGTGATTACATTCATTTGATCAACCATAATCCATTGACCCTCCTTATCAACTGATAGTTCACTGAATGTTAGTTAACCTTTCTTTCTGAAACTGCTACCATTAAAACCAGAAGTCACCAACCGACCAATTCTCTCACTTTTTCTCTTCAGGAAAACTGGTTTCTAAAAAGTTTGGTATTTGTTCTTAGAAAAATACATTAGTGTGAAGACGAGTATCATATCAAACGCACATTAATATATGATGTAAGGAATGATGAAATAAGGAACACTGAGAACACTGCATCTAAATTTTGTAATATTTGTATAAGGTTTGAGGTTGCACTTTTTTAAAGAGGTGGTTTAATGCCCTTTTCACAAGATGTAAAATAAATCTCTGATGTCCCTAGAGTCTGTGTGTGAAGTTTTAACTCAAAATACCACACAGATAGTTTTGTAAAAGTAGTCACTTTTTGAGGGTTAGCAAAAACGCAGCGATTTGTGTTTGGCTCTTTAAATGCAAATTAGCTGCATCTCCCAACACAGTGGGCGGAGCTTCAAGAGCGTTTGCGTTAGCAGCTCCGATGACCTCACGCAGACACAACCTAAAATGTCAGAAACTGTTCTGCCTTTTATGTTTAAAGATGGAGAGACTCACAATTGTCAAACTGCCATTTGTTTTAGTCCTTAAAATGTTTTATTTATTTAAAACGGAAGTGTAGTCATAATCAAGCACTTCTAAGATGAAAAGCTCGAAAAAGTGTGAATCTTCTCTCAATCCGTCCACACTCTTTGTCCGGTGTACAGCAGCACTTCTTTTGCAGTATTTTGGCTTCTAGCTTCTTTAACCAGGTCTTGTCGTTTTCCCTTCTATAACTGGTTGTTTTGTGCACAAGTCTCATTGTGCACAATAACTGGTCGAGGATCGTCAGCTTCTTCAGGAAGTCTAAGTCGGGCTTGATGTATCGTACCTGAATGAGGTAATCGATGGCTTCATCCCCTGTCATGTCATGGTGGATCATGAGATATGCCAGGAAAAGTGTAGGGGCGTGGCTGACACCCTTAGCGCAGTGAATTAACACCTTATCTGTGGAAATAAAAACAGAAAGACAGTCAGAAAAGTCCCAAAGAGTTTGTCACTCCAGAACAGAACACTTGATAAAAGATCTTACTTTGTGGGTTTTTCATGGCCTTGTGAATGAATTTGGCAGCTGGCACGAAGTATTTGCTGATGTTGGAAGTTTGCGTTGTAGGCATGCGGCAATACGTGATGTTCATGCCTCTGTAGTAACTCGCCCCTGTATCAACGGTTTCCATCAGGTCTTCCTCGCACGGGACTCCCATCAAGACCCTCAGATTATTCTTCAAAGCAGCAGCATTGAGGATGTGAGTAATCCCCAGCTCCTTCAGTTTCATTCGGTCCTCTGCTATCACTCTGCACAAGAACAAAAAAGCCAAGATTAGTCTTTCAAAGCACAAGGTTTACAATATAATTACATTATAACAATATAACACACATTACATTAATCACATGGTTTATATTAGTCTAAATGTGCTGTAGACTTACTCATTTCCAATGAAGATGTTGTTCCACACCTCGGTGACAGGTTCCAGATCCTTTGTACAGCCCTTCACACGCTCCGCAAAACGGGAATCGGGTCCTTCTTGAACTAGTTCCTGCTTGGAAGTGCATGCACAAGGACTGCTTGGTCCTTGGACACACGATTCATCCGAATCAGACAGATCCGATTCAGGATCCATCTCAGGAACGCTTGGACCCTCATCACACGATTCATATGCATCAGAAAGATCTGATTCAGGATCCATCTCGGCAACGCTTGGACCCTCATCACACGATTCATATGAATCAGACAGATCCCATTCAGAAACCATCTCAGCAACGCTTGGACCCTCATCAGACGATTCATATGCATCAGACAGCTCCGATTCAGGATCCATCTCAGGAACGCTTGCATCTGGGAGACACAAGGTCTCTGGAACAGCCGGATCAATCCTAAAAAGCTTTTTGAAGAATGCCCTAATTTTTCCCTTCTTCCTCACTTTGGTACTTTCTAAAAAAAGAAGAAAACAAATATGTTATTAGAAACATCTCTAACCACAGATTAAAAATTAATTAGTCCGATATTTCTGTTTTCATCTCATTTGTTTTGTACAACTGCATTTACAAAAAAAATCTAGAATGTTGCATCTCAATTGCTCTGTTGACATTCACCTTTTGGGCTGATCTTTACAGGGGTTTCAGGAGAAGCATCCATGCCACTCTGATCGATCCCACTGGTTCTCCCTGAAGGCCCTGCGGAGTCGCTCAGATCCTCACACACCAGAGTAGGGCTCTTCAGATCTGAAATGGCATCCCTGACTTCAACTTCCAGACCTTCAGTGGACACTGGTTCTGCCTCAGAACGGTTTAGAGCCGAGACGCTGGACTCCTCTAGATCAACGAGATCCACTGGAGTTTCCTGCTCCGAAACTATTGGAACTGGGACATCCGGTTGCTCCAAATTGTCCAGATCCACGGGGGTTTCCTGCTCAGAATCGACCAGATCCGTTGCAGATGTTGGCTGATGAGTGTCTGGGACACACAGTGGCTCTGGGACACCAAAAAGCATCTGAAAGAATCCACTCGCTTTCTTCATAATCCACACTTTGGTACTTTCTGAAAAAACAAAAATAAAAACATGTTATTAGACACATCTCAAACTACAAATTAGACATGAAAAAGTAGACTGGCTTGAAAGACGTTTCTGTTTGCATCTCATTGTTAATGTACTATTCTATGAAATGACAGGGGCGACTTGGAGTCATTTTGTAAATGTGATTAACTATTTATTTTAGACATTCGCAAAATGGGTGCCGGTGTGATGAGACATGCTCGGCCAGATTCGCCTCGAAGTCGTGGTCGTGGATCTTTGGAGGCATAGCCGCGCGGAAAGTTACACAAAATGGCGCACACACGGCGATTAAGCACTCAGGAGATTTTTTTTTAATTGAAAAATAAACAAATGTACATAGAAAATAAGCATTAAACCAACAATATTAATGTTAAACAATATTAACACCTGGCAATTCCTCAAAAGGCAGACGTTTGCAAGGATCACAATATGACGTCACGCACTGCGCGCATTTTTCAAAAAACATAATTCAACATTTCGATTACACTTTTCTATAGCCTATAAATGAAAAAAATATGAATTAAATCGTTGTTTCGTCGCGTTTACAATCCTATGAAAAGCCCCGTTATACTTCCCGTGCCCCTGCCCTGAATATATAGAAAATCTATCAGTGCCATTGGTCATGTTAGCCTGTTGTTCATGTTTAACACACCTGTTGGGCTGTTCTCTGGGGTTTCAGGAGAAGCGTCGATCCCGCTCCCTGCCAATTCCGTTGGTGACACCAACACTGAGGAGACATTTTTGACTTCATCCTCGAGCCCATCTCTCTCAACAACACTAGCTGAGGCGGTTGAGTCGTTCACAGAGTCAACCTGCACAGCGCCCCCCTCTACAACACTGGAACTGACTGGCATGTCCTCAGGTGAATCAATCCTTTCCAGGGAATCGATCACTGCCGAGCTCCCGAAAAGGTCGCAGATGGCATCGGGGATGATCCTGCACTCCACCTGGTCCTCATCCTCTGCTGGTACTTGGAAAGTCTCAGTGCCATGGTACACGCCGTTGAGGTATATTTCCAGACACACCTCTCTGGAGCAAGTACACATTGCGAGTTTCGGATATTAATCTAACAAATCAAAGAAGTAACTTACAGTTGACAAGCTGTTTGATAGCAAGATACACACTGTACGTGACTGATAATCGGAATATCGCAGAATAACTGCAGTGACAGTAAGCGAGTCTTTAACGACGGGCAGAAACAGTCAAGCGAGTTTGCTGCTCTCTGTGACGTAAGTTAAATAGAACGCCGCGCAGAAACAAACAAGGGATCGAACGCAGCGCAGAAACAGATTCATGGTTAAAAACAGATTGTTTGGAAATTACTCTACAACGCATTGGACCAAAGCCAAAAAAATACTAAAGACTTAAACATTTTCATCTTGTTTTAACCTTCTGATGTTCTTCAAAAAAAGTCACAATGCTGGTCTTCGGGGTCTATCAGACCCCAGACAATAACAATAATAATATTAATAATATATTTTTTTTAACAAATATAATTTTACTCTGTTTATTAATGTTTTTACTCAACATCTGTGTCATTTTTGGAGGATTTATGATTTTTTTTTTATTTCTATAAATAAATAAATATTTATTTAAATAAGATTTTTACAAAAAAAAAACAGCATTTTATGTTAAATAAACTTTATAAAAGACCCAGATTTCTAACTTTCATTCCTGGGGATACCATGGATAATTTTACAAGGTTGAATGTAAGATTTTTGCCCAATTTTTGGAAAATACAGGTTAAAATTTGTAATAAGTCACTTTAACCACTAGATGGCTATAGAGCTCCACTAGGCCTATATACTATTTGAATTACTGAAAGATATAGTTTCTAAAGTTGGATTCAGTTGGATTCATATCTAAATATTATAAAATCACAATTATAACAAAAATAAAATCATTTTTGTCAAAGTTTAGCAATTGTTTTTGTACTGAAAAAACAACAGTTTTTCAATAATGTTACATTATGTTTATAATCAGACCTGAACAACATGTTACAAAGAGAAATGTTGGAGTCTTAAGATTTGATCATTTACTTCAACTGAACAGCAATCACAAATTAGCAAATAAAGCAGTAAAAATAAAATATTTGTAAAAAAAAAAAAAAAAGTAAATTGGTAAGAAAATCGAACAACTAGGAACAATAGTTTGGAACAATAGAACAATAGTTGGTCTCATCTCTTTTATCTTTTTTATAGCCTTACAAATGTATTCCTGTGTGTGTGTGTGTGTGTGCACATTTTCAATGTGTCTTAGTGTTACCAATTTATTTTTGCGGTGGTTCTGCATTTTAGAGTATTTTATTTTACAAATGATAAGAGAACAGTTTTTATAGTCTGTGTGTATTCCTGTATATTGTATTCCTCTATGCTTCAAGAGCGTTTGCGTTAGCAGCTCCGATGACCTCACGCAGACACAACCTAAAATGTCAGAAACTGTTCTGCCTTTTATGTTTAAAGATGGAGAGACTCACAATTGTCAAACTGCCATTTGTTTTAGTCCTTAAAATGTTTTATTTATTTAAAACGGAAGTGTAGTCATAATCAAGCACTTCTAAGATGAAAAGCTCGAAAAAGTGTGAATCTTCTCTCAATCCGTCCACACTCTTTGTCCGGTGTACAGCAGCACTTCTTTTGCAGTATTTTGGCTTCTAGCTTCTTTAACCAGGTCTTGTCGTTTTCCCTTCTATAACTGGTTGTTTTGTGCACAAGTCTCATTGTGCACAATAACTGGTCGAGGATCGTCAGCTTCTTCAGGAAGTCTAAGTCGGGCTTGATGTATCGTACCTGAATGAGGTAATCGATGGCTTCATCCCCTGTCATGTCATGGTGGATCATGAGATATGCCAGGAAAAGTGTAGGGGCGTGGCTGACACCCTTAGCGCAGTGAATTAACACCTTATCTGTGGAAATAAAAACAGAAAGACAGTCAGAAAAGTCCCAAACAGTTTGTCACTCCAGAACAGAACACTTGATAAAAGATCTTACTTTGTGGGTTTTTCATGGCCTTGTGAATGAATTTGGCAGCTGGCACGAAGTATTTGCTGATGTTGGAAGTTTGCGTTGTAGGCATGCGGCAATACGTGATGTTCATGCCTCTGTAGTAACTCGCCCCTGTATCAACGGTTTCCATCAGGTCTTCCTCGCACGGGACTCCCATCAAGACCCTCAGATTATTCTTCAAAGCAGCAGCATTGAGGATGTGAGTAATCCCCAGCTCCTTCAGTTTCATTCGGTCCTCTGCTATCACTCTGCACAAGAACAAAAAAGCCAAGATTAGTCTTTCAAAGCACAAGGTTTACAATATAATTACATTATAACAATATAACACACATTACATTAATCACATGGTTTATATTAGTCTAAATGTGCTGTAGACTTACTCATTTCCAATGAAGATGTTGTTCCACACCTCGGTGACAGGTTCCAGATCCTTTGTACAGCCCTTCACACGCTCCGCAAAACGGGAATCGGGTCCTTCTTGAACTAGTTCCTGCTTGGAAGTGCATGCACAAGGACTGCTTGGTCCTTGGACACACGATTCATCCGAATCAGACAGATCCGATTCAGGATCCATCTCAGGAACGCTTGGACCCTCATCACACGTTTCATATGCATCAGACAGATCCGATTCAGGATCCATCTCAGGAACGCTTGGACCCTCATCACACGATTCATATGCATCAGACAGATCCCATTCAGGATCCATCTCAGCAACGCTTGGACCCTCATCAGACGATTCATATGAATCAGACAGATCCCATTCAGAAACCATCTCAGCAACGCTTGGACCCTCATCAGACGATTCATATGAATCAGACAGATCCCATTCAGAAACCATCTCAGCAACGCTTGGACCCTCATCAGACGATTCATATGCATCAGACAGCTCCGATTCAGGATCCATCTCAGGAACGCTTGCATCTGGGAGACACAAGGTCTCTGGAACAGCCGGATCAATCCTAAAAAGCTTTTTGAAGAATGCCCTAATTTTTCCCTTCTTCCTCACTTTGGTACTTTCTAAAAAAAGAAGAAAACAAATATGTTATTAGAAACATCTCTAACCACAGATTAAAAATTAATTAGTCCGATATTTCTGTTTTCATCTCATTTGTTTTGTACAACTGCATTTACAAAAAAAATCTAGAATGTTGCATCTCAATTGCTCTGTTGACATTCACCTTTTGGGCTGATCTTTACAGGGGTTTCAGGAGAAGCATCCATGCCACTCTGATCGATCCCACTGGTTCTCCCTGAAGGCCCTGCGGAGTCGCTCAGATCCTCACACACCAGAGTAGGGCTCTTCAGATCTGAAATGGCATCCTTGACTTCAACTTCCAGACCTTCAGTGGACACTGGTTCTGCCTCAGAACGGTTTAGAGCCGAGACGCTGGACTCCTCTAGATCAACGAGATCCACTGGAGTTTCCTGCTCCGAAACTATTGGAACTGGGACATCCGGTTGCTCCAAATTGTCCAGATCCACGGGGGTTTCCTGCTCAGAATCGACCAGATCCGTTGCAGATGTTGGCTGATGAGTGTCTGGGACACACAGTGGCTCTGGGACGCCAAAAAGCATCTGAAAGAATCCACTCGCTTTCTTCATCATCCACACTTTGGTACTTTCTGAAAAAACAAAAAGAAAAACATGTTATTAGACACATCTCAAACTACAAATTAGACATGAAAAAGTAGACTGGCTTGAAAGACGTTTCTGTTTGCATCTCATTGTTAATGTACTATTCTATGAAATGACAGGGGCGACTTGGAGTCATTTTGTAAATGTGATTAACTATTTATTTTAGACATTCGCAAAATGGGTGCCGGTGTGATGAGACATGCTCGGCCAGATTCGCCTCGAAGTCGTGGTCGTGGATCTTTGGAGGCATAGCCGCGCGGAAAGTTACACAAAATGGCGCACACACGGCGATTAAGCACTCAGGGGATTTTTTTTAATTGAAAAATAAACAAATGTACATACAAAATAAGCATTGAACCAACAATATTAATGTTAAACAATATTAACACCTGGCAATTCCTCAAAAGGCAGACGTTTGCAAGGATCACAATATGACGTCACGCACTGCGCGCATTTTTCAAAAAACATAATTCAACATTTCGATTACACTTTTCTATAGCCTATAAATGAAAAAAATATGAATTAAATCGTTGTTTCGTCGCGTTTACAATCCTATGAAAAGCCCCCTCATACTTCCCGTGCCCCTGCCGTGAATATATAGAAAATCTATCAGTGCCTGTTGTTCATGTTTAACACACCTGTTGGGCTGTTCTCTGGGGTTTCAGGAGAAGCGTCGGTCCCACTCCCTGCCAATTCCGTTGGAGACACCAACACTGAGGAGACATTTTTGACTTCCTCCTCGAGCCCATCTCTCTCAACAACACTAGCTGAGGCGGTTGAGTCGTTCACAGAGTCAACCTGCACAGCGCCCCCCTCTACAACACTGGAACTGACTGGCATGTCCTCAGGTGAATCAATCCTTTCCAGGGAATCGATCACTGCCGAGCTCCCGAAAAGGTCGCAGATGGCATCGGGGATGATCCTGCACTCCACCTGGTCCTCATCCTCTGCTGGTACTTGGAAAGTCTCAGTGCCATGGTACACGCCGTTGAGGTATATTTCCAGACACACCTCTCTGGAGCAAGTACACATTGCGAGTTTCGGATATTAATCTAACAAATCAAAGAAGTAACTTACAGTTGACAAGCTGTTTGATAGCAAGATACACACTGTACGTGACTGATAATCGGAATATCGCAGAATAACTGCAGTGACAGTAAGCGAGTCTTTAACGACGGGCAGAAACAGTCAAGCGAGTTTGCTGCTCTCTGTGACGTAAGTTAAATAGAACGCCGCGCAGAAACAAACAAGGGATCGAACGCAGCGCAGAAACAGATTCATGGTTAAAAACAGATTGTTTGGAAATTACTCTACAACGCATTGGACCAAAGCCAAAAAAATACTAAAGACTTAAACATTTTCATCTTGTTTTAACCTTCTGATGTTCTTCAAAAAAAGTCACAATGCTGGTCTTCGGGGTCTATCAGACCCCAGACAATAACAATAATAATATTAATAATATATTTTTTTTTAACAAATATAATTTTACTCTGTTTATTAATGTTTTTACTCAACATCTGTGTCATTTTTGGAGGATTTATGATTTTTTTTTTTTATTTCTATAAATAAATAAATATTTATTTAAATAAGATTTTTACACAAAAAAAACAGCATTTTATGTTAAATAAACTTTATAAAAGACCCAGATTTCTAACTTTCATTCCTGGGGATACCATGGATAATTTTACAAGGTTGAATGTAAGATTTTTGCCCAATTTTTGGAAAATACAGGTTAAAATTTGTAATAAGTCACTTTAACCACTAGATGGCTATAGAGCTCCACTAGGCCTATATACTATTTGAATTACTGAAAGATATAGTTTCTAAAGTTGGATTCATATCTAAATATTATAAAATCACAATTATAACAAAAATAAAATCATTTTTGTCAAAGTTTAGCAATTGTTTTTGTACTGAAAAAACAACAGTTTTTCAATAATGTTACATTATGTTTAGAATCAGACCTGAACAACATGTTACAAAGAGAAATGTTGGAGTCTTAAGATTTGATCATTTACTTCAACTGAACAGCAATCACAAATTAGCAAATAAAGCAGTAAAAATAAAATATTTGTAAAAAAAAAAAAAAAGAAAAAGTAAATTGGTAAGAAAATCGAACAACTAGGAACAATAGTTTGGAACAATAGAACAATAGTTGGTCTCATCTCTTTTATCTTTTTTATAGCCTTACAAATGTATTCCTGTGTGTGTGTGTGTGTGCACATTTTCAATGTGTCTTAGTGTTACCAATTTATTTTTGCGGTGGTTCTGCATTTTAGAGTATTTTATTTTACAAATGATAAGAGAACAGTTTTTATAGTCTGTGTGTATTCCTGTATATTGTATTCCTCTATGCTTCAAGAGCGTTTGCGTTAGCAGCTCCGATGACCTCACGCAGACACAACCTAAAATGTCAGAAACTGTTCTGCCTTTTATGTTTAAAGATGGAGAGACTCACAATTGTCAAACTGCCATTTGTTTTAGTCCTTAAAATGTTTTATTTATTTAAAACGGAAGTGTAGTCATAATCAAGCACTTCTAAGATGAAAAGCTCGAAAAAGTGTGAATCTTCTCTCAATCCGTCCACACTCTTTGTCCGGTGTACAGCAGCACTTCTTTTGCAGTATTTTGGCTTCTAGCTTCTTTAACCAGGTCTTGTCGTTTTCCCTTCTATAACTGGTTGTTTTGTGCACAAGTCTCATTGTGCACAATAACTGGTCGAGGATCGTCAGCTTCTTCAGGAAGTCTAAGTCGGGCTTGATGTATCGTACCTGAATGAGGTAATCGATGGCTTCATCCCCTGTCATGTCATGGTGGATCATGAGATATGCCAGGAAAAGTGTAGGGGCGTGGCTGACACCCTTAGCGCAGTGAATTAACACCTTATCTGTGGAAATAAAAACAGAAAGACAGTCAGAAAAGTCCCAAACAGTTTGTCACTCCAGAACAGAACACTTGATAAAAGATCTTACTTTGTGGGTTTTTCATGGCCTTGTGAATGAATTTGGCAGCTGGCACGAAGTATTTGCTGATGTTGGAAGTTTGCGTTGTAGGCATGCGGCAATACGTGATGTTCATGCCTCTGTAGTAACTCGCCCCTGTATCAACGGTTTCCATCAGGTCTTCCTCGCACGGGACTCCCATCAAGACCCTCAGATTATTCTTCAAAGCAGCAGCATTGAGGATGTGAGTAATCCCCAGCTCCTTCAGTTTCATTCGGTCCTCTGCTATCACTCTGCACAAGAACAAAAAAGCCAAGATTAGTCTTTCAAAGCACAAGGTTTACAATATAATTACATTATAACAATATAACACACATTACATTAATCACATGGTTTATATTAGTCTAAATGTGCTGTAGACTTACTCATTTCCAATGAAGATGTTGTTCCACACCTCGGTGACAGGTTCCAGATCCTTTGTACAGCCCTTCACACGCTCCGCAAAACGGGAATCGGGTCCTTCTTGAACTAGTTCCTGCTTGGAAGTGCATGCACAAGGACTGCTTGGTCCTTGGACACACGATTCATCCGAATCAGACAGATCCGATTCAGGATCCATCTCAGGAACGCTTGGACCCTCATCACACGTTTCATATGCATCAGACAGATCCGATTCAGGATCCATCTCAGGAACGCTTGGACCCTCATCACACGTTTGAATGAGGTAATCGATGGCTTCATCCCCTGTCATGTCATGGTGGATCATGAGATATGCCAGGAAAAGTGTAGGGGCGTGGCTGACACCCTTAGCGCAGTGAATTAACACCTTATCTGTGGAAATAAAAACAGAAAGACAGTCAGAAAAGTCCCAAAGAGTTTGTCACTCCAGAACAGAACACTTGATAAAAGATCTTACTTTGTGGGTTTTTCATGGCCTTGTGAATGAATTTGGCAGCTGGCACGAAGTATTTGCTGATGTTGGAAGTTTGCGTTGTAGGCATGCGGCAATACGTGATGTTCATGCCTCTGTAGTAACTCGCCCCTGTATCAACGGTTTCCATCAGGTCTTCCTCGCACGGGACTCCCATCAAGACCCTCAGATTATTCTTCAAAGCAGCAGCATTGAGGATGTGAGTAATCCCCAGCTCCTTCAGTTTCATTCGGTCCTCTGCTATCACTCTGCACAAGAACAAAAAAGCCAAGATTAGTCTTTCAAAGCACAAGGTTTACAATATAATTACATTATAACAATATAACACACATTACATTAATCACATGGTTTATATTAGTCTAAATGTGCTGTAGACTTACTCATTTCCAATGAAGATGTTGTTCCACACCTCGGTGACAGGTTCCAGATCCTTTGTACAGCCCTTCACACGCTCCGCAAAACGGGAATCGGGTCCTTCTTGAACTAGTTCCTGCTTGGAAGTGCATGCACAAGGACTGCTTGGTCCTTGGACACACGATTCATCCGAATCAGACAGATCCGATTCAGGATCCATCTCAGGAACGCTTGGACCCTCATCACACGATTCATATGCATCAGAAAGATCTGATTCAGGATCCATCTCGGCAACGCTTGGACCCTCATCACACGATTCATATGCATCAGACAGATCCCATTCAGGAACCATCTCAGCAACGCTTGGACCCTCATCAGACGATTCATATGAATCAGACAGATCCCATTCAGGAACCATCTCAGCAACGCTTGGACCCTCATCAGACGATTCATATGAATCAGACAGATCCCATTCAGAAACCATCTCAGCAACGCTTGGACCCTCATCAGACGATTCATATGCATCAGACAGCTCCGATTCAGGATCCATCTCAGGAACGCTTGCATCTGGGAGACACAAGGTCTCTGGAACAGCCGGATCAATCCTAAAAAGCTTTTTGAAGAATGCCCTAATTTTTCCCTTCTTCCTCACTTTGGTACTTTCTAAAAAAAGAAGAAAACAAATATGTTATTAGAAACATCTCTAACCACAGATTAAAAATTAATTAGTCCGATATTTCTGTTTTCATCTCATTTGTTTTGTACAACTGCATTTACAAAAAAAATCTAGAATGTTGCATCTCAATTGCTCTGTTGACATTCACCTTTTGGGCTGATCTTTACAGGGGTTTCAGGAGAAGCATCCATGCCACTCTGATCGATCCCACTGGTTCTCCCTGAAGGCCCTGCGGAGTCGCTCAGATCCTCACACACCAGAGTAGGGCTCTTCAGATCTGAAATGGCATCCTTGACTTCAACTTCCAGACCTTCAGTGGACACTGGTTCTGCCTCAGAACGGTTTAGAGCCGAGACGCTGGACTCCTCTAGATCAACGAGATCCACTGGAGTTTCCTGCTCCGAAACTATTGGAACTGGGACATCCGGTTGCTCCAAATTGTCCAGATCCACGGGGGTTTCCTGCTCAGAATCGACCAGATCCGTTGCAGATGTTGGCTGATGAGTGTCTGGGACACACAGTGGCTCTGAGACACCAAAAAGCATCTGAAAGAATCCACTCGCTTTCTTCATCATCCACACTTTGGTACTTTCTGAAAAAACCAAAAATAAAAACATGTTATTAGACACATCTCAAACTACAAATTAGACATGAAAAAGTAGACTGGCTTGAAAGACGTTTCTGTTTGCATCTCATTGTTAATGTACTATTCTATGAAATGACAGGGGCGACTTGGAGTCATTTTGTAAATGTGATTAACTATTTATTTTAGACATTCGCAAAATGGGTGCCGGTGTGATGAGACATGCTCGGCCAGATTCGCCTCGAAGTCGTGGTCGTGGATCTTTGGAGGCATAGCCGCGCTGAAAGTTACACAAAATGGCGCACACACGGCGATTAAGAACTCAGGGGATTTTTTTAATTGAAAAATAAACAAATGTACATAGAAAATAAGCATTGAACCAACAATATTAATGTTAAACAATATTAACACCTGGCAATTCCTCAAAAGGCAGACGTTTGCAAGGATCACAATATGACGTCACGCACTGCGCGCATTTTTCAAAAAACATAATTCAACATTTCGATTACACTTTTCTATAGCCTATAAATGAAAAAAAAAATGAATTAAATCGTTGTTTCGTCGCGTTTACAATCCTATGAAAAGCCCCCTTATACTTTCCGTGCCCCTGCCCTGAATATATAGAAAATCTATCAGTGCCATTGGTCATGTTAGCCTGTTGTTCATGTTTAACACACCTGTTGGGCTGTTCTCTGGGGTTTCAGGAGAAGCGTCGATCCCGCTCCCTGCCAATTCCGTTGGTGACACCAACACTGAGGAGACATTTTTGACTTCCTCCTCGAGCCCATCTCTCTCAACAACACTAGCTGAGGCGGTTGAGTCGTTCACAGAGTCAACCTGCACAGCGCCCCCCTCTACAACACTGGAACTGACTGGCATGTCCTCAGGTGAATCAATCCTTTCCAGGGAATCGATCACTGCCGAGCTCCCGAAAAGGTCGCAGATGGCATCGGGGATGATCCTGCACTCCACCTGGTCCTCATCCTCTGCTGGTACTTGGAAAGTCTCAGTGCCATGGTACACGCCGTTGAGGTATATTTCCAGACACACCTCTCTGGAGCAAGTACACATTGCGAGTTTCGGATATTAATCTAACAAATCAAAGAAGTAACTTACAGTTGACAAGCTGTTTGATAGCAAGATACACACTGTACGTGACTGATAATCGGAATATCGCAGAATAACTGCAGTGACAGTAAGCGAGTCTTTAACGACGGGCAGAAACAGTCAAGCGAGTTTGCTGCTCTCTGTGACGTAAGTTAAATAGAACGCCGCGCAGAAACAAACAAGGGATCGAACGCAGCGCAGAAACAGATTCATGGTTAAAAACAGATTGTTTGGAAATTACTCTACAACGCATTGGACCAAAGCCAAAAAAATACTAAAGACTTAAACATTTTCATCTTGTTTTAACCTTCTGATGTTCTTCAAAAAAAGTCACAATGCTGGTCTTCGGGGTCTATCAGACCCCAGACAATAACAATAATAATATTAATAATATATTTTTTTTAACAAATATAATTTTACTCTGTTTATTAATGTTTTTACTCAACATTTGTGTCGTTTTTGGAGGATTTATGATTTTTTTATTTATTTCTATAAATAAATAAATATTTATTTAAATAAGATTTTTACAAAAAAAAAAACAGCATTTTATGTTAAATAAACTTTATAAAAGACCCAGATTTCTAACTTTCATTCCTGGGGATACCATGGATAATTTTACAAGGTTGAATGTAAGATTTTTGCCCAATTTTTGGAAAATACAGGTTAAAATTTGTAATAAGTCACTTTAACCACTAGATGGCTATAGAGCTCCACTAGGCCTATATACTATTTGAATTACTGAAAGATATAGTTTCTAAAGTTGGATTCATATCTAAATATTATAAAATCACAATTATAACAAAAATAAAATCATTTTTGTCAAAGTTTAGCAATTGTTTTTGTACTGAAAAAACAACAGTTTTTCAATAATGTTACATTATGTTTATAATCAGACCTGAACAACATGTTACAAAGAGAAATGTTGGAGTCTTAAGATTTGATCATTTACTTCAACTGAACAGCAATCACAAATTAGCAAATAAAGCAGTAAAAATAAAATATTTGTAAAAAAAAAGAAAAAGTAAATTGGTAAGAAAATCGAACAACTAGGAACAATAGTTTGGAACAATAGAACAATAGTTGGTCTCATCTCTTTTATCTTTTTTATAGCCTTACAAATGTATTCCTGTGTGTGTGTGTGTGTGCACATTTTCAATGTGTCTTAGTGTTACCAATTTATTTTTTGCGGTGGTTCTGCATTTTAGAGTATTTTATTTTACAAATGATAAGAGAACAGTTTTTATAGTCTGTGTGTATTCCTGTATATTGTAATCCTCTATGCTTCAAGAGCGTTTGCGTTAGCAGCTCCGATGACCTCACGCAGACACAACCTAAAATGTCAGAAACTGTTCTGCCTTTTATGTTTAAAGATGGAGAGACTCACAATTGTCAAACAGCCATTTGTTTTAGTCCTTAAAATGTTTTATTTATTTAAAACGGAAGTGTAGTCATAATCAAGCACTTCTAAGATGAAAAGCTCGAAAAAGTGTGAATCTTCTCTCAATCCGGCCACACTCTTTGTCCGGTGTACAGCAGCACTTCTTTTGCAGTATTTTGGCTTCTAGCTTCTTTAACCAGGTCTTGTCGTTTTCCCTTCTATAACTGGTTGTTTTGTGCACAAGTCTCATTGTGCACAATAACTGGTCGAGGATCGTCAGCTTCTTCAGGAAGTCTAAGTCGGGCTTGATGTATCGTACCTGAATGAGGTAATCGATGGCTTCATCCCCTGTCATGTCATGGTGGATCATGAGATATGCCAGGAAAAGTGTAGGGGCGTGGCTGACACCCTTAGCGCAGTGAATTAACACCTTATCTGTGGAAATAAAAACAGAAAGACAGTCAGAAAAGTCCCAAAGAGTTTGTCACTCCAGAACAGAACACTTGATAAAAGATCTTACTTTGTGGGTTTTTCATGGCCTTGTGAATGAATTTGGCAGCTGGCACGAAGTATTTGCTGATGTTGGAAGTTTGCGTTGTAGGCATGCGGCAATACGTGATGTTCATGCCTCTGTAGTAACTCGCCCCTGTATCAACGGTTTCCATCAGGTCTTCCTCGCACGGGACTCCCATCAAGACCCTCAGATTATTCTTCAAAGCAGCAGCATTGAGGATGTGAGTAATCCCCAGCTCCTTCAGTTTCATTCGGTCCTCTGCTATCACTCTGCACAAGAACAAAAAAGCCAAGATTAGTCTTTCAAAGCACAAGGTTTACAATATAATTACATTATAACAATATAACACACATTACATTAATCACATGGTTTATATTAGTCTAAATGTGCTGTAGACTTACTCATTTCCAATGAAGATGTTGTTCCACACCTCGGTGACAGGTTCCAGATCCTTTGTACAGCCCTTCACACGCTCCGCAAAACGGGAATCGGGTCCTTCTTGAACTAGTTCCTGCTTGGAAGTGCATGCACAAGGACTGCTTGGTCCTTGGACACACGATTCATCCGAATCAGACAGATCCGATTCAGGATCCATCTCAGGAACGCTTGGACCCTCATCACACGTTTCATATGCATCAGACAGATCCGATTCAGGATCCATCTCAGGAACGCTTGGACCCTCATCACACGATTCATATGCATCAGACAGATCCGATTCAGGATCCATCTCAGGAACGCTTGGACCCTCATCACACGATTCATATGCATCAGACAGATCCCATTCAGGAACCATCTCGGCAACGCTTGGACCCTCATCAGACGATTCATATGAATCAGACAGATCCCATTCAGAAACCATCTCAGCAACGCTTGGACCCTCATCAGACGATTCATATGAATCAGACAGATCCCATTCAGAAACCATCTCAGCAACGCTTGGACCCTCATCAGACGATTCATATGCATCAGACAGATCCCATTCAGAAACCATCTCAGCAACGCTTGGACCCTCATCAGACGATTCATATGCATCAGACAGCTCCGATTCAGGATCCATCTCAGGAACGCTTGCATCTGGGAGACACAAGGTCTCTGGAACAGCCGGATCAATCCTAAAAAGCTTTTTGAAGAATGCCCTAATTTTTCCCTTCTTCCTCACTTTGGTACTTTCTAAAAAAAGAAGAAAACAAATATGTTATTAGAAACATCTCTAACCACAGATTAAAAATTAATTAGTCCGATATTTCTGTTTTCATCTCATTTGTTTTGTACAACTGCATTTACAAAAAAAATCTACAATGTTGCATCTCAATTGCTCTGTTGACATTCACCTTTTGGGCTGATCTTTACAGGGGTTTCAGGAGAAGCATCCATGCCACTCTGATCGATCCCACTGGTTCTCCCTGAAGGCCCTGCGGAGTCGCTCAGATCCTCACACACCAGAGTAGGGCTCTTCAGATCTGAAATGGCATCCTTGACTTCAACTTCCAGACCTTCAGTGGACACTGGTTCTGCCTCAGAACGGTTTAGAGCCGAGACGCTGGACTCCTCTAGATCAACGAGATCCACTGGAGTTTCCTGCTCCGAAACTATTGGAACTGGGACATCCGGTTGCTCCAAATTGTCCAGATCCACGGGGGTTTCCTGCTCAGAATCGACCAGATCCGTTTCAGATGTTGGCTGATGAGTGTCTGGGACACACAGTGGCTCTGGGACGCCAAAAAGCATCTGAAAGAATCCACTCGCTTTCTTCATCATCCACACTTTGGTACTTTCTGAATAAACAAAAAGAAAAACATGTTATTAGACACATCTCAAACTACAGATTAGACATGAAAAAGTAGACTGGCTTGAAAGACGTTTCTGTTTGCATCTCATTGTTAATGTACTATTCTATGAAATGACAGGGGCGACTTGGAGTCATTTTGTAAATGTGATTAACTATTTATTTTAGACATTCGCAAAATGGGTGCCGGTGTGATGAGACATGCTCGGCCAGATTCGCCTCGAAGTCGTGGTCGTGGATCTTTGGAGGCATAGCCGCGCGGAAAGTTACACAAAATGGCGCACACACGGCGATTAAGCACTCAGGAGATTTTTTTTTAATTGAAAAATAAACAAATGTACATAGAAAATAAGCATTGAACCAACAATATTAATGTTAAACAATATTAACACCTGGCAATTCCTCAAAAGGCAGACGTTTGCAAGGATCACAATATGACGTCACGCACTGCGCGCATTTTTCAAAAAAACATAATTCAACATTTCGATTACACTTTTCTATAGCCTATAAATGAAAAAAATATGAATTAAATCGTTGTTTCGTCGCGTTTACAATCCTATGAAAAGCCCCCTTATACTTCCCGTGCCCCTGCCCTGAATATATAGAAAATCTATCAGTGCCATTGGTCATGTTAGCCTGTTGTTCATGTTTAACACACCTGTTGGGCTGTTCTCTGGGGTTTCAGGAGAAGCGTCGATCCCGCTCCCTGCCAATTCCGTTGGTGACACCAACACTGAGGAGACATTTTTGACTTCATCCTCGAGCCCATCTCTCTCAACAACACTAGCTGAGGCGGTTGAGTCGTTCACAGAGTCAACCTGCACAGCGCCCCCCTCTACAACACTGGAACTGACTGGCATGTCCTCAGGTGAATCAATCCTTTCCAGGGAATCGATCACTGCCGAGCTCCCGAAAAGGTCGCAGATGGCATCGGGGATGATCCTGCACTCCACCTGGTCCTCATCCTCTGCTGGTACTTGGAAAGTCTCAGTGCCATGGTACACGCCGTTGAGGTATATTTCCAGACACACCTCTCTGGAGCAAGTACACATTGCGAGTTTCGGATATTAATCTAACAAATCAAAGAAGTAACTTACAGTTGACAAGCTGTTTGATAGCAAGATACACACTGTACGTGACTGATAATCGGAATATCGCAGAATAACTGCAGTGACAGTAAGCGAGTCTTTAACGACGGGCAGAAACAGTCAAGCGAGTTTGCTGCTCTCTGTGACGTAAGTTAAATAGAACGCCGCGCAGAAACAAACAAGGGATCGAACGCAGCGCAGAAACAGATTCATGGTTAAAAACCAAAGCCAAAAAAATACTAAAGACTTAAACATTTTCATCTTGTTTTAACCTTCTGATGTTCTTCAAAAAAAGTCACAATGCTGGTCTTTGGGGTCTATCAGACCCCAGACAATAACAATAATAATATTAATAATATATTTTTTTTTAACAAATATAATTTTACTCTGTTTATTAATGTTTTTACTCAACATTTGTGTCGTTTTTGGAGGATTTATGATTTTTTTATTTATTTCTATAAATAAATAAATATTTATTTAAATAAGATTTTTACAAAAAAAAACAGCATTTTATGTTAAATAAACTTTATAAAAGACCCAGATTTCTAACTTTCATTCCTGGGGATACCATGGATAATTTTACAAGGTTGAATGTAAGATTTTTGCCCAATTTTTGGAAAATACAGGTTAAAATTTGTAATAAGTCACTTTAACCACTAGATGGCTATAGAGCTCCACTAGGCCTATATACTATTTGAATTACTGAAAGATATAGTTTCTAAAGTTGGATTCATATCTAAATATTATAAAATCACAATTATAACAAAAATAAAATCATTTTTGTCAAAGTTTAGCAATTGTTTTTGTACTGAAAAAACAACAGTTTTTCAATAATGTTACATTATGTTTAGAATCAGACCTGAACAACATGTTACAAAGAGAAATGTTGGAGTCTTAAGATTTGATCATTTACTTCAACTGAACAGCAATCACAAATTAGCAAATAAAGCAGTAAAAATAAAATGTTTGTAAAAAAAAAAAAAAGAAAAAGTAAATTGGTAAGAAAATCGAACAACTAGGAACAATAGTTTGGAACAATAGAACAATAGTTGGTCTCATCTCTTTTATCTTTTTTATAGCCTTACAAATGTATTCCTGTGTGTGTGTGTGTGTGCACATTTTCAATGTGTCTTAGTGTTACCAATTTATTTTTTGCGGTGGTTCTGCATTTTAGAGTATTTTATTTTACAAATGATAAGAGAACAGTTTTTATAGTCTGTGTGTATTCCTGTATATTGTATTCCTCTATGCTTCAAGAGCGTTTGCGTTAGCAGCTCCGATGACCTCACGCAGACACAACCTAAAATGTCAGAAACTGTTCTGCCTTTTATGTTTAAAGATGGAGAGACTCACAGTTGTCAAACTGCCATTTGTTTTAGTCCTTAAAATGTTTTATTTATTTAAAACGGAAGTGTAGTCATAATCAAGCACTTCTAAGATGAAAAGCTCGAAAAAGTGTGAATCTTCTCTCAATCCGTCCACACTCTTTGTCCGGTGTACAGCAGCACTTCTTTTGCAGTATTTTGGCTTCTAGCTTCTTTAACCAGGTCTTGTCGTTTTCCCTTCTATAACTGGTTGTTTTGTGCACAAGTCTCATTGTGCACAATAACTGGTCGAGGATCGTCAGCTTCTTCAGGAAGTCTAAGTCGGGCTTGATGTATCGTACCTGAATGAGGTAATCGATGGCTTCATCCCCTGTCATGTCATGGTGGATCATGAGATATGCCAGGAAAAGTGTAGGGGCGTGGCTGACACCCTTAGCGCAGTGAATTAACACCTTATCTGTGGAAATAAAAACAGAAAGACAGTCAGAAAAGTCCCAAAGAGTTTGTCACTCCAGAACAGAACACTTGATAAAAGATCTTACTTTGTGGGTTTTTCATGGCCTTGTGAATGAATTTGGCAGCTGGCACGAAGTATTTGCTGATGTTGGAAGTTTGCGTTGTAGGCATGCGGCAATACGTGATGTTCATGCCTCTGTAGTAACTCGCCCCTGTATCAACGGTTTCCATCAGGTCTTCCTCGCACGGGACTCCCATCAAGACCCTCAGATTATTCTTCAAAGCAGCAGCATTGAGGATGTGAGTAATCCCCAGCTCCTTCAGTTTCATTCGGTCCTCTGCTATCACTCTGCACAAGAACAAAAAAGCCAAGATTAGTCTTTCAAAGCACAGGGTTTACAATATAATTACATTATAACAATATAACACACATTACATTAATCACATGGTTTATATTAGTCTAAATGTGCTGTAGACTTACTCATTTCCAATGAAGATGTTGTTCCACACCTCGGTGACAGGTTCCAGATCCTTTGTACAGCCCTTCACACGCTCCGCAAAACGGGAATCGGGTCCTTCTTGAACTAGTTCCTGCTTGGAAGTGCATGCACAAGGACTGCTTGGTCCTTGGACACACGATTCATCCGAATCAGACAGATCCGATTCAGGATCCATCTCAGGAACGCTTGGACCCTCATCACACGTTTCATATGCATCAGACAGATCCGATTCAGGATCCATCTCAGGAACGCTTGGACCCTCATCACACGATTCATATGCATCAGACAGATCCCATTCAGGATCCATCTCAGCAACGCTTGGACCCTCATCAGACGATTCATATGAATCAGACAGATCCCATTCAGGAACCATCTCAGCAACGCTTGGACCCTCATCAGACGATTCATATGAATCAGACAGATCCCATTCAGGAACCATCTCAGCAACGCTTGGACCCTCATCAGACGATTCATATGAATCAGACAGATCCCATTCAGAAACCATCTCAGCAACGCTTGGACCCTCATCAGACGATTCATATGCATCAGACAGCTCCGATTCAGGATCCATCTCAGGAACGCTTGCATCTGGGAGACACAAGGTCTCTGGAACAGCCGGATCAATCCTAAAAAGCTTTTTGAAGAATGCCCTAATTTTTCCCTTCTTCCTCACTTTGGTACTTTCTAAAAAAAGAAGAAAACAAATATGTTATTAGAAACATCTCTAACCACAGATTAAAAATTAATTAGTCCGATATTTCTGTTTTCATCTCATTTGTTTTGTACAACTGCATTTACAAAAAAAATCTAGAATGTTGCATCTCAATTGCTCTGTTGACATTCACCTTTTGGGCTGATCTTTACAGGGGTTTCAGGAGAAGCATCCATGCCACTCTGATCGATCCCACTGGTTCTCCCTGAAGGCCCTGCGGAGTCGCTCAGATCCTCACACACCAGAGTAGGGCTCTTCAGATCTGAAATGGCATCCTTGACTTCAACTTCCAGACCTTCAGTGGACACTGGTTCTGCCTCAGAACGGTTTAGAGCCGAGACGCTGGACTCCTCTAGATCAACGAGATCCACTGGAGTTTCCTGCTCCGAAACTATTGGAACTGGGACATCCGGTTGCTCCAAATTGTCCAGATCCACGGGGGTTTCCTGCTCAGAATCGACCAGATCCGTTGCAGATGTTGGCTGATGAGTGTCTGGGACACACAGTGGCTCTGGGACGCCAAAAAGCATCTGAAAGAATCCACTCGCTTTCTTCATCATCCACACTTTGGTACTTTCTGAATAAACAAAAAGAAAAACATGTTATTAGACACATCTCAAACTACAGATTAGACATGAAAAAGTAGACTGGCTTGAAAGACGTTTCTGTTTGCATCTCATTGTTAATGTACTATTCTATGAAATGACAGGGGCGACTTGGAGTCATTTTGTAAATGTGATTAACTATTTATTTTAGACATTCGCAAAATGGGTGCCGGTGTGATGAGACATGCTCGGCCAGATTCGCCTCGAAGTCGTGGTCGTGGATCTTTGGAGGCATAGCCGCGCGGAAAGTTACACAAAATGGCGCACACACGGCGATTAAGCACTCAGGAGATTTTTTTTAATTGAAAAATAAACAAATGTACATACAAAATAAGCATTGAACCAACAATATTAATGTTAAACAATATTAACACCTGGCAATTCCTCAAAAGGCAGACGTTTGCAAGGATCACAATATGACGTCACGCACTGCGCGCATTTTTCAAAAAACATAATTCAACATTTCGATTACACTTTTCTATAGCCTATAAATGAATAAATATAAATTAAATCGTTGTTTCGTCGCGTTTACAATCCTATGAAAAGCCCCCTTATACTTCCCGTGCCCCTGCCCTGAATATATAGAAAATCTATCAGTGCCATTGGTCATGTTAGCCTGTTGTTCATGTTTAACACACCTGTTGGGCTGTTCTCTGGGGTTTCAGGAGAAGCGTCGGTCCCGCTCCCTGCCAATTCCGTTGGTGACACCAACACTGAGGAGACATTTTTGACTTCATCCTCGAGCCCATCTCTCTCAACAACACTAGCTGAGGCGGTTGAGTCGTTCACAGAGTCAACCTGCACAGCGCCCCCCTCTACAACACTGGAACTGACTGGCATGTCCTCAGGTGAATCAATCCTTTCCAGGGAATCGATCACTGCCGAGCTCCCGAAAAGGTCGCAGATGGCATCGGGGATGATCCTGCACTCCACCTGGTCCTCATCCTCTGCTGGTACTTGGAAAGTCTCAGTGCCATGGTACACGCCGTTGAGGTATATTTCCAGACACACCTCTCTGGAGCAAGTACACATTGCGAGTTTCGGATATTAATCTAACAAATCAAAGAAGTAACTTACAGTTGACAAGCTGTTTGATAGCAAGATACACACTGTACGTGACTGATAATCGGAATATCGCAGAATAACTGCAGTGACAGTAAGCGAGTCTTTAACGACGGGCAGAAACAGTCAAGCGAGTTTGCTGCTCTCTGTGACGTAAGTTAAATAGAACGCCGCGCAGAAACAAACAAGGGATCGAACGCAGCGCAGAAACAGATTCATGGTTAAAAACCAAAGCCAAAAAAATACTAAAGACTTAAACATTTTCATCTTGTTTTAACCTTCTGATGTTCTTCAAAAAAAGTCACAATGCTGGTCTTCGGGGTCTATCAGACCCCAGACAATAACAATAATAATATTAATAATATATTTTTTTTTAACAAATATAATTTTACTCTGTTTATTAATGTTTTTACTCAACATTTGTGTCGTTTTTGGAGGATTTATGATTTTTTTATTTATTTCTATAAATAAATAAATATTTATTTAAATAAGATTTTTACAAAAAAAAACAGCATTTTATGTTAAATAAACTTTATAAAAGACCCAGATTTCTAACTTTCATTCCTGGGGATACCATGGATAATTTTACAAGGTTGAATGTAAGATTTTTGCCCAATTTTTGGAAAATACAGGTTAAAATTTGTAATAAGTCACTTTAACCACTAGATGGCTATAGAGCTCCACTAGGCCTACATACTATTTGAATTACTGAAAGATATAGTTTCTAAAGTTGGATTCAGTTGGATTCATATCTAAATATTATAAAATCACAATTATAACAAAAATAAAATCATTTTTGTCAAAGTTTAGCAATTGTTTTTGTACTGAAAAAACAACAGTTTTTCAATAATGTTACATTATGTTTAGAATCAGACCTGAACAACATGTTACAAAGAGAAATGTTGGAGTCTTAAGATTTGATCATTTACTTCAACTGAACAGCAATCACAAATTAGCAAATAAAGCAGTAAAAATAAAATGTTTGTAAAAAGAAAAAAAAGAAAAAGTAAATTGGTAAGAAAATCGAACAACTAGGAACAATAGTTTGGAACAATAGAACAATAGTTGGTCTCATCTCTTTTATCTTTTTTATAGCCTTACAAATGTATTCCTGTGTGTGTGTGTGTGCACATTTTCAATGTGTCTTAGTGTTACCAATTTATTTTTTGCGGTGGTTCTGCATTTTAGAGTATTTTATTTTACAAATGATAAGAGAACAGTTTTTATAGTCTGTGTGTATTCCTGTATATTGTAATCCTCTATGCTTCAAGAGCGTTTGCGTTAGCAGCTCCGATGACCTCACGCAGACACAACCTAAAATGTCAGAAACGGTTCTGCCTTTTATGTTTAAAGATGGAGAGACTCACAATTGTCAAACTGCCATTTGTTTTAGTCCTTAAAATGTTTTATTTATTTAAAACGGAAGTGTAGTCATAATCAAGCACTTCTAAGATGAAAAGCTCGAAAAAGTGTGAATCTTCTCTCAATCCGTCCACACTCTTTGTCCGGTGTACAGCAGCACTTCTTTTGCAGTATTTTGGCTTCTAGCTTCTTTAACCAGGTCTTGTCGTTTTCCCTTCTATAACTGGTTGTTTTGTGCACAAGTCTCATTGTGCACAATAACTGGTCGAGGATCGTCAGCTTCTTCAGGAAGTCTAAGTCGGCTTGATGTATCGTACCTGAATGAGGTAATCGATGGCTTCATCCCCTGTCATGTCATGGTGGATCATGAGATATGCCAGGAAAAGTGTAGGGGCGTGGCTGACACCCTTAGCGCAGTGAATTAACACCTTATCTGTGGAAATAAAAACAGAAAGACAGTCAGAAAAGTCCCAAAGAGTTTGTCACTCCAGAACAGAACACTTGATAAAAGATCTTACTTTGTGGGTTTTTCATGGCCTTGTGAATGAATTTGGCAGCTGGCACGAAGTATTTGCTGATGTTGGAAGTTTGCGTTGTAGGCATGCGGCAATACGTGATGTTCATGCCTCTGTAGTAACTCGCCCCTGTATCAACGGTTTCCATCAGGTCTTCCTCGCACGGGACTCCCATCAAGACCCTCAGATTATTCTTCAAAGCAGCAGCATTGAGGATGTGAGTAATCCCCAGCTCCTTCAGTTTCATTCGGTCCTCTGCTATCACTCTGCACAAGAACAAAAAAGCCAAGATTAGTCTTTCAAAGCACAGGGTTTACAATATAATTACATTATAACAATATAACACACATTACATTAATCACATGGTTTATATTAGTCTAAATGTGCTGTAGACTTACTCATTTCCAATGAAGATGTTGTTCCACACCTCGGTGACAGGTTCCAGATCCTTTGTACAGCCCTTCACACGCTCCGCAAAACGGGAATCGGGTCCTTCTTGAACTAGTTCCTGCTTGGAAGTGCATGCACAAGGACTGCTTGGTCCTTGGACACACGATTCATCCGAATCAGACAGATCCGATTCAGGATCCATCTCAGGAACGCTTGGACCCTCATCACACGTTTCATATGCATCAGACAGATCCCATTCAGGAACCATCTCAGCAACGCTTGGACCCTCATCACACGATTCATATGCATCAGACAGATCCGATTCAGGAACCATCTCAGCAACGCTTGGACCCTCATCAGACGATTCATATGAATCAGACAGATCCCATTCAGAAACCATCTCAGCAACGCTTGGACCCTCATCAGACGATTCATATGCATCAGACAGCTCCGATTCAGGATCCATCTCAGGAACGCTTGCATCTGGGAGACACAAGGTCTCTGGAACAGCCGGATCAATCCTAAAAAGCTTTTTGAAGAATGCCCTAATTTTTCCCTTCTTCCTCACTTTGGTACTTTCTAAAAAAAGAAGAAAACAAATATGTTATAAGAAACATCTCTAACCACAGATTAAAAATTAATTAGTCCGATATTTCTGTTTTCATCTCATTTGTTTTGTACAACTGCATTTACAAAAAAAATCTAGAATGTTGCATCTCAATTGCTCTGTTGACATTCACCTTTTGGGCTGATCTTTACAGGGGTTTCAGGAGAAGCATCCATGCCACTCTGATCGATCCCACTGGTTCTCCCTGAAGGCCCTGCGGAGTCGCTCAGATCCTCACACACCAGAGTAGGGCTCTTCAGATCTGAAATGGCATCCTTGACTTCAACTTCCAGACCTTCAGTGGACACTGGTTCTGCCTCAGAACGGTTTAGAGCCGAGACGCTGGACTCCTCTAGATCAACGAGATCCACTGGAGTTTCCTGCTCCGAAACTATTGGAACTGGGACATCCGGTTGCTCCAAATTGTCCAGATCCACGGGGGTTTCCTGCTCAGAATCGACCAGATCCGTTGCAGATGTTGGCTGATGAGTGTCTGGGACACACAGTGGCTCTGAGACACCAAAAAGCATCTGAAAGAATCCACTCGCTTTCTTCATAATCCACACTTTGGTACTTTCTGAAAAAACAAAAAGAAAAACATGTTATTAGACACATCTCAAACTACAAATTAGACATGAAAAAGTAGACTGGCTTGAAAGACGTTTCTGTTTGCATCTCATTGTTAATGTACTATTCTATGAAATGACAGGGGCGACTTGGAGTCATTTTGTAAATGTGATTAACTATTTATTTTAGACATTCGCAAAATGGGTGCCGGTGTGATGAGACATGCTCGGCCAGATTCGCCTCGAAGTCGTGGTCGTGGATCTTTGGAGGCATAGCCGCGCGGAAAGTTACACAAAATGGCGCACACACGGCGATTAAGCACTCAGGGGATTTTTTTAATTGAAAAATAAACAAATGTACATAGAAAATAAGCATTGAACCAACAATATTAATGTTAAACAATATTAACACCTGGCAATTCCTCAAAAGGCAGACGTTTGCAAGGATCACAATATGACGTCACGCACTGCGCGCATTTTTCAAAAAACATAATTCAACATTTCGATTACACTTTTCTATAGCCTATAAATGAAAAAAATATGAATTAAATCGTTGTTTCGTCGCGTTTACAATCCTATGAAAAGCCCCGTTATACTTCCCGTGCCCCTGCCCTGAATATATAGAAAATCTATCAGTGCCATTGGTCATGTTAGCCTGTTGTTCATGTTTAACACACCTGTTGGGCTGTTCTCTGGGGTTTCAGGAGAAGCGTCGATCCCGCTCCCTGCCAATTCCGTTGGTGACACCAACACTGAGGAGACATTTTTGACTTCATCCTCGAGCCCATCTCTCTCAACAACACTAGCTGAGGCGGTTGAGTCGTTCACAGAGTCAACCTGCACAGCGCCCCCCTCTACAACACTGGAACTGACTGGCATGTCCTCAGGTGAATCAATCCTTTCCAGGGAATCGATCACTGCCGAGCTCCCGAAAAGGTCGCAGATGGCATCGGGGATGATCCTGCACTCCACCTGGTCCTCATCCTCTGCTGGTACTTGGAAAGTCTCAGTGCCATGGTACACGCCGTTGAGGTATATTTCCAGACACACCTCTCTGGAGCAAGTACACATTGCGAGTTTCGGATATTAATCTAACAAATCAAAGAAGTAACTTACAGTTGACAAGCTGTTTGATAGCAAGATACACACTGTACGTGACTGATAATCAGAATATCGCAGAATAACTGCAGTGAAAGCAAGCGAGTCTTTAACGACGGGCAGAAACAGTCAAGCGAGTTTGCTGCTCTCTGTGACGTAAGTTAAATAGAACGCAGCGCAGAAAAAAACAAGGGATCGAACGCAGCGCAGAAACAGATTCATGGTTAAAAACAGATTGTTTGGAAATTACTCTACAACGCATTGGACCAAAGCCAAAAAAATACTAAAGACTTAAACATTTTCATCTTGTTTTAACCTTCTGATGATGTTCTTCAAAAAAAAGTCACAATGCTGGTCTTTGGGGTCTATCAGACCCCAGACAATAACAATAATAATATTATTAATAATATATTTTTAACAAATATAATTTTACTCTGTTTATTAATGTTTTTACTCAACATTTGTGTCGTTTTTGGAGGATTTATGATTTTTTTTTATTTCTATAAATAAATAAATATTTATTTAAATAAGATTTTTACAAAAAAAAAAAAAACATCATTTTATGTTAAATAAACTTTATAAAAGACCCAGATTTCTAACTTTCATTCCTGGGGATACCATGGATAATTTTACAAGGTTGAATGTAAGATTTTTGCCCAATTTTTGGAAAATACAGGTTAAAATTTGTAATAAGTCACTTTAACCACTAGATGGCTATAGAGCTCCACTAGGCCTATATACTATTTGAATTACTGAAAGATATAGTTTCTAAAGTTGGATTCATATCTAAATATTATAAAATCACAATTATAACAAAAATAAAATCATTTTTGTCAAAGTTTAGCAATTGTTTTTGTACTGAAAAAACAACAGTTTTTCAATAATGTTACATTATGTTTAGAATCAGACCTGAACAACATGTTACAAAGAGAAATGTTGGAGTCTTAAGATTTGATCATTTATTTCAACTGAACAGAAATCACAAATTAGCAAATAAAGCAGTAAAAATAAAATATTTGTAAAAAAAAAAAAAAAAAGTAAATTGGTAAGAAAATCGAACAACTAGGAACAATAGTTTGGAACAATAGAACAATAGTTGGTCTCATCTCTTTTATCTTTTTTATAGCCTTACAAATGTATTGTGTGTGTGTGTGTGTGTGTGTGTGCACATTTTCAATGTGTCTTAGTGTTACCATTTTATTTTTGCAGTGGTTCTGCATTTTAGAGTATTTTATTTTACAAATGATAAGAGAACAGTTTTTATAGTCTGTATGTATTCCTGTATATTGTATTCCTCTATACGTGTGTGTGTGTGTGTGTGTGCACGTGTGTGAGCATTATCATTTTGGATTGTGGAAGTTTTTTGCATTTTTGGAAGTGTGCCACTTTATTTCTGTCATTTCTGTCTGCGTTATTTCTGATTTTGATGATGAATTATGTCTATTTTGAGTCCAATGATAAATAAATATTTATTTATTTAAATAAATACCATTTGGAGAAAGAGAACATTTTTTTTACTTCAAGCAAAAGTTATTTGGGGTCCAGTAGACCCCGAAGACCATCAGAGAAGTAGCAAAAATGAAAACTAAAACGAACTATTCAGCCCTATGATCCATGATTAAAGCATTAAGTAGACTTCATTTTCAAAGGGCTTTTAGATTATATTAACACCGCAATATCTTCATTCTGAATAAAGTTCCGCATCAAAACAATATGTATCGTAAAAGAGTAAGCCATGCAGAAACCATTCTCTGAGAACCTAAGCATATTCTCTCTTTAATTGCCTTACAAGTGTTTTATTTTTCCTGTTTAAAGCTGTGGGTGGGAATCTCACATGATTTGAATATAGATCAGGCTGTCTTTAGGCTGTCTCCAGACAAGCACATCTAATCTTTCATGATCCAGCAGTGTCTGTTATTATTAGTTTTTTTGCTATGAAAAAAGAAAACTAATTTGAAAATCAGAGGAAGATAATTAAATGCCAAACAAGTACATCCCCGGAAGACTCCCACATCAGTCTATAGCTCAGATGTCTCTAGGACAACAGTGAATCCTGTATATATAAGTCGAGAGTAAACCCAAGTAATATAAAAACCAATGCAATGGTATTAATCTGTTCAATTTATGATATACCAAGGTTTGTGAAGTTCACAATCAATCATAGGAGTTTTGTTTGCCCTCATTTAGATTAAAGCTTGGAACGTTTTTAGGAAGTTGAACATGCAAATTTATTTTAAAAAAATGTGTCTCAAACCAGGAGTAGAGTAGCAAACAGCAGATACTGTGTCAGGACAACACTAGACACAGGTCAGTGGAACAAAACAGTGAGTGCAACGGTCAAACATGCGTGTTTACATAGAAAAACAATGGAAAAGTAGAGCAAAGTCTTTGCAGAAGGGTCAACGGCTTTCACGGATGTCTTTCAAAATGAAAGTCTCGCGCATCAGAAAAACATTAATTAGCTTAAGTGTTTTGTTGTTGTGTTTATGTCTACACAGTCCGTGGCCCACTTAAAACGGTCTTGCTACAAGCTGAGAAACAATGTTGCATGGAGATAGCGATGTCATTATTCGCTGTTAAAATTATGTTTTATCATTGTAGTGTCAGACAAGCTTTTGATATTTTCTGTATGAAAAATCTATGTTTGGATAAACACAGAAATTAAAAACAAACAAAATACCCAGAGAAAATATATGCAGTATTCTTATAGTTTTTTCTTCTTCTTTCAGATCCTTAAAAATAATGCAAATAGTTTCCCCACTTTATTTTCCCCTCTAACACTAATACTTTATAAGTGTCTTAAAAGTGTTGGAGCATCCCAAGCCCTGCATTTGTGTTTTAGTGTTTTAAAAAGTGTTTTATTTTTCTGTTTTTAAAGCCGTGGCGTGGGTGGGAATCTCACATGATTTGAATATAGATCAGGCTGTCTTTTGGCTCCAGACAAGCACATCTAATCTTTCATGATCCAGAAGTGTCTATTATCATTAGTTTTGCTGATTTGAAAATCAGTGGAATATACTGTAAATAAATCTATCAAAATAATCTATCTATCTATCTATCTATCTATCTATCTATCTATCTATCTATCTATCTATCTATCTATCTATCTATCTATCTTTCACTGACCTGAAACTCAAGCTTTTTGACATTTTAAAACGGGTTTCAAAGCGCATGTCTTTGAAAATGATACTGTTATCATCAAATTTGATCAATTTGATTGTGAAAACGGTGATGTCATGCACATGCATACTCGGTCTACAGTTTAGTGTAATGTAGTGTTTACAAAGTCACAGCACCAACCACTGGCCTGGCAGCATAATACAGCATTTTTAGTAATTTTCTGGGATTTTAGTCAAGAACGGGGATCGTTCTGAACATTTTTCCAAGTTTAGTACATTGTTGTCATGCAAACATGCCTTTAGACTAAGGAGATTAAAAAACAAGATTATCCAAAATGCAAAAAAAAAAAAAAATTTGATCGTTTTAACGAAGTTTTGTTAATAATGAAAACATCATTCCAGTATCAGAATCGTACCGAGGTCAAACAGACTTGTTAGTCTTTTAATTTAAGAATGTCCTGCGTGTTACATCATAAACCTAAGATTGCTTCATTCGACTTCATAAACGAATACAGGACTCATAATAAATGCTGCTTTGTCCGAGTATCAATGCGTTCAGCATCGTGACTGACAGTCTGAAAAATAAGAGTCATTTCTGTCCAGAATCATTGTCTTCCATCCAACACCTGAAAGCCTTTCTGTTCCATTACAATCATTTCTAACATCATCTTGATATATTCCAGCTATCCGCTCAAGCTCGAGCGCAACTAGCTACAAACCTATTGTTGTAGGCTAATGATAAAAAGCAAGGGTGCCAATCATCTGTGCCAACCTTTGTGGGAAAAAAAAAAAATCTCTCGACTCATATTCATGACAGCTCATCTTTGTTGAGTGGATTGTGTAATATTTTGCGGTTAGACTGCTGTCCTCACTTTTGATGGTCTGCTCAGAGGTCAGAAAAGAAACTTGCAGAGTATTAAATGTCAACAGCATCCTCCCACAGAGCTCTCGAGGGGGTGAGTTCACCAGCTGAATGAACAGAGAACAGGTGAATCTCCCCCCTCCAGGATGTCCAATAAACCGGGGAACAAATTGTTTGTGATTACAGTTATTATGACAAATTTATGCATGCGTTGGAAAAGGTTAAAACTACAGGCTGTCGAACTGACAGCATGAGTCAAAGCGGAGATTTCTGGATGTGGCTCCAGACTGTGACTAGTCTACAACAAAACTAAAAAAAAAGTGATAATAATTTAAAGTTTAAATTGGTTCATATGCATTTTTTGTTCAAGTGCACCAAGACGTTCGGTTTCCAAACAAAGGACTCTTACGAACTAATTCTTTTTAGTGAGTCCATCACAAGATTCATAAATTACACTCAATCTGTGAATCATTCTGGCTCACTCACTGAAATGTTTCTTTCGAGAACTGGGAAATGTTAATGTGATACTAGGTTCATGCGACTTTGGACTGCAAAACTAAGTTGTTCTTATGACAACGTGTCCAGCAAATCATATGTAAGTGTAACGGACGTAGGCCAGTAAGAGCTGTGCGAGTTCGGATCCCGCTCAGAGCAGGTCAAGTAATACTAGTTACATTTGGTGCCGTGACCCTGATGGGAGAGAGGTTTAGGTGGGTGAGTGTAACAGCCAGTAATGCCGAGTTCAGACTGCATGATTTTAGCCACGATTTTGGCTCGCCGACAGGTTTTGAGAAATCGCCGACAAATGCCCGAAATCACATGCAAATCGCCACTCGTTCACGCGAGTGACAATCACGCAGTGTGAATGAGCAAAGACGTGATCTGAGAGAATCACTGATCAATATTTGGCATGCTAAATATCTGGACCTGTCGGCGATTCAAAATCCTGCTGTGTGAAAAGTGTTTTGACTGAAAACTACATCGCCAATTACCGACAACCAGTGAGAGAGAGCAAGATACAGCGCAGCGGGGAGTTTGGGGAGGAGTTATAGATCACATATCAACATGCATGGCATTGTTTCAGAAAAAGATTTCTTCTCTGTCTATTTGGACCCAAGAAATGGAAGAAAAATTAGTCGAAATTTGGCAGGAGCACCCGTGTTTATTTGACGTTTCATCTGAGCTGATCCGGGTCGAAAAAGAAAAAAGTCTCACGTGACACATCGCACGTGTGTTTGTTGTGAAACGTAGTTTGCGCGCAGCGTACTAGACGGAGTTGTCGG